TAGTTGCCGAACGTCTGAGGTCGACGGCGGCAGAAGCGAGCAACGTGTCCGGGAGTGAAGCAAGCGTAGCAAATCGGTCGGTTATCGGGCGTCCTCCAGGGATTGGCGACTGGTGCTGCCACCCAAGGTGCAGTATAAGCAGCCGGGTGTGCGGGCTGTGAGCGCGTGGTGTAGGGTGGTTGCGGGAGCCTACGTACGGCGTCTGCATATGTGAGCGGCGTGGCTACGGGCTTCATCTTTGCGAAAAGGTGACAGGAGGAGCCACAGGCTGCGTTGCATAGGTTAGGGGCGCGGCCACAGGCTTAACGGCTGGCGGATAGGCGACAGGAGCGCCTACCGGCTGTGCGACACCCGAGCAGTGACCACGGCTAGATAGAGGTGGCTTGTAGTGCGCAAGAGGAACAGCTTGTGCAACCTCTTCCGAAATAGCAGTGCGAAGCGGGGCAGGTAGACGGGTGGTGGTCTCGTAAGTGAAGGGCACTAGGGAAAGTTGGCGGGTGACTTCCTTACGGACGAAGGCTCGAACTTGCTGAAGCAATGGTGAATTGTCAGGCAAGGTGTCGATACTGGACAGTGACTCACCACCACGCTGAGGCTGCCGAGTCAGAGTGCGTTGCTTCTTCAACTCGTCGTAGCTCTGACACAAGCTGACGACTTCAGAAACTGTGCTTGGATTCCTTGCCAAGAGCATTTGAAATGCGCCGTCGTCGATGCCCTTCAGGATGTTTTTGACCTTGTCAGATTCGGGCATGGTGTCATTCACACGTCGACAAAGGTCGACGACGTCTTCAATATAGCTGGTAAAGGTCTCGCCAGTCTGCTGAGAGCGGACGCGCAAGCGCTGTTCTGCCCTCTGCTTGCGGACAGCCGGCCGATCGAACACTTCAGCACATGACGTCTTGAAGACGCTCCATGTGGGGATCTTGTGTTTGTGGTAATTAAACCGCAATTCGGTGACGCCGGTGAGATAAAATATCACGTGGACCAGCTTGTCGGCTTCATACCACTTATTGTTGGCGCTCACCAGTTCGTAGTGCTCGAGCCAGTCTTCGACGTCGGTCCCATCCGCACCGCTGAAGACTTTCGGCTCCCGTTGCCTAGGATGGCCAGGGCAGTTGAACTGGAGCGAAGGCGTCGATGTAGTGGCGTTGGCAGTCATGACAGGTGGTAGCGTGCGGCTTCGCAGCTCCAGGTTGTAGCAACGGGGATTAACAGCACCTTTCACCAAATGTGAGGAGGTTTATAAGCCATTAAAGGCAGCGACGAGACAGCGTGAAGAACCGTCCAGCGATCGGCACAGCAACGAACCGAAGCACGAGCCGAGAGAGCCGGACGCTGGCGATGCTGCTCGCTGCAGGCACATCTTCTTCTTCACATTTCTGACACCTTTGTTGAGCATTTTGTCAACTTCCGCTTGTATAACTCTGCGCTTGGCGTGGGAGACACGATAAGGGGGTCGGCGAATGGGACTGGCGTCACCAGTGTTTTTATGGTGCTGAACGGTGGATGTTTGTCCTAGAGGTCTGTCCTCGAAATCAAAAATGTCGGTATACGACGCGAGAAGGTGATGGATGTCGTTGGCTTGCACATGATTGAGGTCGGGTGCAATCATCTTCGAGAAACGACTCGGCATAGAGCAGATGCTGTTAGCTACACAAGACTAAAGGAAATCAATCTTGGTAGTGAGAGCCGCTATTTCGAATTCGTCAGCATTGGATACGCTGGCCAAGCACATGCCACGAGGAAGCACTTGAGGGCGAAAGCTGAAATTAAGAAGCGGGAGCGAGGTACAGTTGTCAGTGACATTCCCAAGCGTATGGGGAATGACAATGTTGCGCTCAAAGAGAACGTCGGCGAGAGGAAGGAGAACATATTGACCATCGGGAACCTGTGGCTGTGTGGTCAAAATGACGTAGGTGGCTGCCTGAGGTGACAGTCGCACACCCCGAAGAGAGCACAGGTGTGGCGGGGCAGTGTAGTGTTCAGCGACTATCTGAGGCGGGTCTAGCTGAAGGATGCCGGTAGCACAATCGATAAGAGCAGAGTGATTCGACAAGACGTCCAGACCTAGGATAACGTCATAGGTGCAGAGGTCAATCACGGCTAAAATGACAGAAGCAGTGTGGTCCTTTATACTTAAGCGAGCAGTGCACAGACCGAGAACCATCGGCGTGCCGCCATCGGCCACACGGAGCGCTTGTGTAGCAGCTGATGTCAGAACTTTCTTTAAACGTGTGCGTAAGCTTGAACACATGACCGAAATGCTTGCGCCAGTGTCTGCAAGTGCTTGTGCAGGTACGCCCTCTACTTCAAAGTCTATTACACTTCGTCTGGTAGGAACGGAGAGAGGATTTGATGCGGAAGTCGTCAATGCAGCACCACCTCCGGGGGCTGCATTTCTCAGTTTTCTGAGACGATGTGGCCGGAAGCAACGGGGGATGAGAAGCGCCGTGGCTGCGGTGAACGGGACGATGGACGACGTATTAGCGGCGAACGAGACTGGTGCCCACGTGGTGAAGGCGAGCGGCTGTACCATGTGTTCCGAGAATGGTCAACGGCATGGGACTCTTAGGCAGGTGAAAATAATCGGGCGGTACCGCGGAAACGGGTCATATTGGTCGTTGCACTAGGTGCCGAGGACCATGTATTGCAGAAGTAATGAGCAATATGTCTCACGCAGTGGCAGTTAAAATATATAGTGCGGTCATCTGCAGTTCGCCACTCAGCCGGGTTTCGAGTACGTGGAGAAATCCGTCGGTAGGAGGAGGGCATCGCGAAAGGGCGTTCGCTGACTCTGGGGGGTGCTGACATGTTACACGGAATGCACTACGATGTTTTCAAGCTCCTGGCGCGCGATGGGTTGAACAAGAGGAACAGTAACAGGAGTGGTATCGGTACTGCGCGAATTGAACGCCGAAGGCGCCATTGCTTCCATTTCGCGACGAACAGTGCGTGTCAGGTCTTCCGGCGGCGACGGTCGTTGTGGTGCGAACTGGTCCTCACAAGTCGATGTTGCAGCGGTGTTTGGAAGTCGGGCGAATGTTTGCAGAATGCGGCGACTTTTTACTTGTTCAAACTGACGCCACTTTTTGATGATCGCGTCCACGGTGGAACAGTTCTTGCACAGCAGGAGATTGAACGCGTCGTCGGCAATCCCTTTCACGACATGCCTTACCTTGTCACCTTCTGTCATGTCGCTTTCGGCCTTTAGGCAGAGGGCCAGCACGTCTTGAATGTATGCGAGGTATGATTCCGTTGGGAATTGGGCGCGGCAGGCCAATTCCTTTTTGGCGGCGATCTTACGATTGGCGGTTTTGCCAAACACCTCTCGCATCTTTTCGTTGCATTGGTCCCAGCTTGTGAAATCTTCGTTGTTTTCGTACCACACCTTCGCCGTGCCTATAACGTAAAACAGCGCATTAGCCAACTGAAGTGTGGGATCCCATCTGTTCGGCACACTCACTCGTTCGAATATGGCCAACCAATCGTCAACGTCGACGCCATCGGTCCCGTAGAATGTACCGGGATTCTTGAGTAGCGTGAAAATGTATGGTCGCGACGCCGTGTTCATCGGAAACGCTGACGTTGACGCGGAGGGCTCAGCATTGGCCATGGCTGGAAAACCAATGCGGCGTCCGCTGCGGAGCTCCGTTGCCTGATGGTTACCCAGCACCTCTCACCAATGTATTACGGGGTCAGTCACTTCTGTATAAACGCAATTACAGAGGAACAACCTCAGGCGAGAAATCACAATGGCTGATTGGCACACTCGCGCGCCTCTCAGCTGATTCTGACCTTCATCTTTCTTTACTTCGTAACAAAATTTCGGATAAATCTTGCGCATTAGCAGGTGGTCAGGGTACACCTTTACCTGAATCAGTTTTAGTGTCAAAACCTGTGGTCTGCTTAAGTTTCTGTGCGGTGAAGAGAACACTGTCCCAGCCCCAGGTAAAAAGTGTTTTCGTGAGTTCAATATACGAGGCCAGAGGTTGTCGTTTTTACAAAACCTCCGCGCCACGATCCGCGATAGCTACGCGGCATACTAGTCCTCGCGTAGCTACATGGGCCACCTTCTCATTGGATGGGGCTCCCTCGATCTCTCCCTGCATTAAAAGTATGTTTCGGAAAAATACAATGGATGAAGTGCTTTTTTTTAATATGAAAGATCATGTGCAACCAACGGTTTCAGAAGACGAAGGCCTTTTCCGATATTATCTGCAGCAAAGCGAATGCTTCAGACAACAAGCCTATTTCGGTAGCTCAGAAAACATGGCCACAATTCTGAAAAGTCTTCACTCAGTTATGCATGACAACGAATTCTGAAGGCAAAGAAATGGACAATGGAGAACTATTTTTTACTAGAATAAATTTCTGCATAAAAATGTGGAAAAAAGACACAAACAATTAAGGAAAGGGGGTGAGTACTCCTTATTGGATAAGGCAATCATACCGGAGACCGACACGTTGAGCCCCCGTCTCCTAATATAGAAAGCTTCAAATACTTTACGAGTGGTTATGCTATGATGTTTATATATGTAGTTGCATCAACAAAAAAGGGTGCGAAGCTGCACATAGTGCACGTCATACTGTCCAGTACAAGTTATAGTCTGTAATATGAAAGAACAAAATCCTTAAACATCCAAGTTCTCACTAGCCTGACCATCTGTTTTACGTTTTATTCCGAGGTCTCTCTGGCATCGTGCAGCAAGAAGCTCTTTAGGGCGTCATCGGTGGAACCTAACAATAATTAGTGTGCTGCTCAGGCTGACCTTAATATAGCGATAGTATCAATTTCAAGCGTACAAATGTATACGTTGTTTTAGGTAGCACTCTTTCAGTTTCATGAACAAAGAAACAACGGCTCACGATGCAAATAATTCTCTAAATATGAGCGATTCATTACTTCGTCTTCCCAAATAGTTTGTCGCAAAATTTTGATGATTTGTTGGCTAATCTTTATGGTAATACTACTTCTAATGATGGTATCATGCTTTCTGCAGGGTGCCCCGCAGCTGATCGAGTGCCCTCATGCCCTGAAATTCAACAATAATCTCAACGTGTGCGACTTCCCTTGGCGTGCTGCCTGCGTCGAGCTCCCTATCCCGGAACCCGCACTGCCGACCACTGAAGCTCCTTTGGCCACCGAGAGGGTTGTCATCACGAAAATTGTCACGGAGATTTTCAGGCCCGTCGAAGAGCAGGCCGCACCTTCGTGAAAAATAAAGCGCTGCTACTTGCACACCTATGACGTTTGTTATAGTTTCTGAAGTGGGAAATCAAATTTGGTATGACAATGAAACTAAGAAGTCGACGTGCAAGGAATGACGCTGGGGCAAACATTCGTAGAAACATCTGCGTTCTTGTTTTCTCTTTCACATAGAATGGTTTTATTCTGGTGCCCACCAAGTATTCAGTGGCGTATTTCCGTCGCGGATATGATGTGGATAAAACGGAAACTAACGGATAACAAAGGAAAAAAATATCACCGGGTGGGAATCATGTGTAGGTGCGACAATATTGTTACGTGGAGAAGGCGTCTGAAAAAAACTTTACCTTTGGTAAACAGGCAGGCGTACAATATGGAGCCCAGTCTGCACGAGCTCGCCCTAAACATCGTCCTCTTTCCTACAATGTTCATTTGTGGCACCCCATAGCATCACCCCCGGCGGCGAAGGCACCGTCTCGGTGCTTGGTTGGTCCGAGTAATATCGCTTCAGCCGAGTGACGTGAACAACGTCAGAGCACGATGGCACGCTGGTGGCGTTAAGAGGTTCAATTTCATATGTCACTTCGGTGACTTGGCGCACCACACAGTACGGATTCAAGTACGGCGAAGACAGCTTTTCGCACAGGCCCACTCGCCGCGACGGCGTCCAGAGAAGGACTGTGTCACCTTGACTGAATTGTACATCACAATGGCACGCATCGTAGACCTGTCGTTGTCGTTCCTATGAATCGCTCAGACGCCGGCGAGCAATCTCACGTGCCTCTAGACCTCTAGAGATCACATCGCAGGCATATTCTGACGTGTGGCTAACGGCAAGAAGGAGTGTGTCAAAAGGCAACGTAGGTTCTCGTCCGTACAGGAGGAAAAATGGCGAAAAACCTGCAGTGTCATGCCGAGACGTATTATAGGCAAATGTTACAAATGGAAGGGAGGAGTCCCAGTCACGATGGTCTGAAGATACGTACATATGGCGAGCATGTCCGTGATTGTTCTATTTAGCCACTCCGTGAGCCCATTGGTTTGAGGATGATACGCCGTTGTGAACTTTTGCTTTGTAGCGCAAGAGTGTAATATGTCTTGGATAACTTGTGATAAAAAGTAGCGACCCCGATCGGTAAGCAGTTGCCAAGGAGCGCCGTGGTATAATATGACGTCTTCTAGAAGAAAGTCAGCGATGTCGGTCGCACAACTGGTAGGAAAGGCCCGCGTGATGGCATACCGAGGTGTGTAATCCATGGCGACTGCTATCCACTTGTTTCCGCTGGCCGATAAAGCAAACGGTCCTAGTAAGTCAACACCTACCCTATAAAATGGTTCGGATGGGATCTGAAAGGGCTGAAGGCGTCCCGCTGGAAGGGTTGCTAGTTTTTTGCGGTGTTGACAGGATTTGCATGAGGCGACGTAACGGCAGACGGATCGGTAAATACCGGGCCAAAAGAAGTGACGTCGAACGCGGTCATAAGTTCTTGAAACTCCCAGGTGACCAGCTGTCGGAATATCATGTAACTGTGCGAGGACAGTCTGACGCATGAGTTGTGGTATGACTAACAGCAGCTCAGGTCCGTCAGGATGCATGCTGTAGCGATATAAGACGCCATATTGGAGCAGAAACATACGGAGAGACGGAGGAGTTGTGGGACGACTAAGCCGAAGGATTATATCTCTGAGGTGAGGATGAGGGCGTTGCTGATCACCGATGTTGCTAAACGCGGAAAGTGCCAAAACGCAAGTAGACTCATCGCTCTCAGAAAGGTCTGCTGGGTCATCTGGATGACACGACAAGCAATCAGCATCCTCATAGTGGCGACCTGATTTGTAGACAACCGTGTAGGAATATTCCTGTAGCCGTAGAGCCCACCCGCCGAGACGTTCACTAGGATCTTTTAAGGACGACAACCAGCATAAGGCGTGGTGATCAGTGACAACCGTGAACGGGCGTCAATACAAATACGACCGAAACTTAGCCACTGCCCAGACGAACGCGAGACATTCGCGTTCTGTGATGGAGTAATTTCGCTCTGCTGGCGATAAATGATGGCTAGCGTATGCAATAACGCGCTCACACCCATGCTGTCGTTGTGCCAAAACAGCTCCGATTCCGTGGCCGCTGGCGTTGGACCGCATATATCAAAGTGGCCGAGAATCGGCGGCGTCGTAAGTCTACTCGTCAGTTCAACGAATGCTCTGGCTTGTTCAGGTCCCCACACAAAAGTCACATTTTCTTTAGTAGTTCCGTGAGCGGGCGTGCGACGTCAGCGAAATTCCGCACAAATCTACGAAAGTAAGAACAAAGGCCCACAAAGCTTCGAACGTCGTTCGCAGAGGTCGGCAGAGGGAAATCCTTGACGGCGCGGATTTCCTCAGGATCGGGACGAACACCAGAAGAATCGACAAGGTGTCCAAGGACAATGAGCTGCCGGCAGCCGAAGTGACATTTCGACAAGTTTAGTTGGAGCCCTGCTTTAGGAAAACCGAAAGAATTTCTGAGAGACGCTCGAGGTGAGTTTCGAAAGTTGGCAAAAAAAACAATGACGTCATCAAGGTAGCATAAGCAGACTGACCACTTGAAACTGTGAAGAAGAGCGTCCATCATTCGTTCGAATGTAGCCGTGGCATTGCATAACCCGAACGGCATTACTTTAAACTGATAGAGCCCGTCGGGAGTTATAAATGCCGTATTTTCACTGTCCAGATCATCAACTGATATCTTCCAGTACCCGGAACGAAGGTCGATGGAAGAGAAATAATTTGCTGCACTAAGGCAGTCAAAAGCATTATCTATCGAAGGCAGAGGATACACGTCATTTTTGCAACTTTGTTAAGATATCTGTAGTCGACACAAAAGCGCCAGCTGTTATCCTTCTTTCTCACGAGCACAACGGGCGAAGCCCAAGGACTTGAAGAAAGTTCAATGATGTCTCGGGCAATCATCTCGTCGACTTCTTGCTGGATCACGTGGCGCTCGGTGGAGAAAACCCGATAGGGTCGCCGGTGTACTGGATATGCATCACCGGTGTTGATCCGATGCTTTACGACGGTCGTTTGACCTAGGGGTCGGTCGCAGAGATCAAAGACGTCTTGATACGACGCAATAAGGCCACGAAGCGCAGACACATGCTCGACCAGGAGATCAGAGGCAATCATTCCAGTTATGCTGTCTAGTGTACTGCCCAACTAAATACTGGCAGATGACGGTGTATCCTCAGTTAAGGCCGATATGTTGTAGTCGCCGGCCGGGGCAAGGGCTGCAAGGGATATCCCTCGTGGCAGTACTTCAGAGCGAAGTCCAAAGTTCACAATAGGGAGACATGCCACGTTGTCCTTCATTGTGATGATGGTGTGGGGGAACGCAACATTGAGCGAACGGAGGACTGTACGATTAGGTGAAATGACATAATCACCGCCAGCCACAGGTGGATCACAAGAGACGTCGATATACGTCACAGTTCGACAAGATAGGCGGACAAGGTCGGCGGAGCATAGTTTTGGCAGCGCAGGATCAGGAGGGTCAACGGCGTGTGGTAGGACGAGCTCAACAACACCAGCAGAACTGTCAGTTAGGGCGAAATGCTCCGACAGAAAATCGAATCCCAAAATGACGTCGTATGGGCAGTGGTCCAGTACGTAAAACAGAACAGAGGTATGACGTCCAGCAACAGTGACACGGGCGGCACACATCCCAGTTACCGCTGGTGTTGCACCATCAGCTACTCGGACAACAGTGATCGGAGCAGGAGTGAGCACTTTCTTGAGTCGAGCACAAAGGCTGGAGTTCATGACTGATATGTGAGCGCCGGTGTCAATGAGTGCTGCCACAGAAGTACCGTCAACATTTACTTTAATCAAGTTGTTGTGTCCGGGTATCGTGAGTAGAGGAATTTCGGGTCGGGTCGTCGAAGCAGGCTCACCTCTAGGAGCTGCGCCCGTCAGTTTTCCGAAGACTGGTGGTAGGAGGACGAGGGGGAGCGACGTCGGTTAGTTGAGCGGGACATGCGTCCATATGGCGACGAGGAGCGGCTTGGTTGGGTGGGCCTGGATGGCGAAGCATCATCTTGTGCCGTGTAGATCGGCATCCGAGAGCCAGCAGGTGGGCGTCGGGTGTTGGCATAATGCGACCATGGCTGCCAACCACAGGAAATGCGGCAATGACGTGAAATATGGCCGACTCGTCCACAGTTGAAGCAGATCGGCCTGTCATCAGAAGTTTGCCATTCTGCCGGGTTCCGGTAACGTGGGCGGTTGTTCGGTCCGCGGGACATATTAGGTGTACTGGGCATTCGGTAGTCAGGTCGGTTAATGGGACATAGCGTCTGAAGTCCGGCGTTGGCCAGTTTCTGGCGTACACAGTAAAACTTTTTACACCCAAAAGGGTGTAAAAGGGTGCTTTTACGAGAAAGCACCTTTTTCAACACCCTTTAACACCCATAAATGGTCGATTGAAAAAAAAGCACCCATTTGTTTGCGTGCTTGCCTCGATAGCACGCTAAAGTAGGCTCTAAGGGCGCTTTTGTGCCTGAGAAGGGTGTAGGTGACGATTCATCAGATGAAATATGCAGCGTAAGAAGAACACATAATTATAATATTTGGGATTTTACGTCTCAAAAACCTTAGATATGATTATGAGGGTCGTCGTAGTGGAAAGCTCTAGAGATTTTGACCATTTGGTGTTCTTTAATGGGCGCTGATATCGCACAGTGCACAGGCTTCTACCTTTTCGCCTCCATCTGGATTCGACTGCCACGGCCGGCATCGAACCCGCGACCTTCGGATTGGTGGCCGAGCAGCGTAGCTACTGCACGAATATGTGGACCTTGTGTTAAATGACGGCCTAGACTTAGAATGTGTGAAGGTGCTCTCCGAATACAGCAGAATGCCAGCAGAATCAAATCGCGTTTCATCTATAATGGCAATTAACTGCAATCCACGTTACGAAAGCTCACCTTGGCGTTGGTTATAAGCTACATGTTTGCTGTGGATTATACACAGGAACATAATGTTCGCCCGAGTATGGGCGTGTGTGC